CTGGCAGAGACTGATCAAGAGAGAGATCTTGGAGTTGTAGTAGATAACTCACTGAAAATGTCAAGACAGTGTGTGACTGCTATAAAGAAGGACAATGCTATGCTGGGGATTATTAGGAAGGGTATTGAAAACAGATCAGCCAATATCATAATGCCCCTATATAAATCAATGGTGCGACCTCATTTGGAATACTGTGTGCAGTTCTGGTCACCACACCTTAAATAGGATATTATAGCTTTGGACAAAGTGCAGAAAAGGGCAACTCGAATGATAAAAGGGTTGGAACACTTTCCCTATGAGGAAAGGTTAAAGCGCTTAGGGCTCTTTAGCTTGGAGAAACGATGACTGAGGGGTGACATGATTGAGGTTTATAAGATTATGCATGGGAAAGAGCAGGTAGAGAAAGAGGTACTTTTCTCTCTTTCTCACAATACAAGAACTTGTGGGCACTCCATGAAATTGCTGAGTGGTTGGGTTAGAACGGATAAAAGGAAGTACTTCTTTACCCAAAGAGTGATTCACACATGGAATTCACTGCCACAGGAAGTGGTGGCGGCTACAAGCATGGACGGCTTCAAAAGGGAATTAGATAAACATATGGAGCAGAGGTCCATCAGTGGCTATTAGCCACAAGGTATAGATAGGGACTCTGGGGCAAGTGATGCTCTGTCTTCTTGGTGCTTGGGAGGGTCAACAGTGGGAGGGCTTCTAATGTCCTGGCCCCACTGGTGGACCTCCTGATGGCACTGGTATTTCTGGCCAATGTGTGATACAGAGTGTTGGACTGGATGTGCCTTTGGCCTGATCCAACATTGGCGTCTCTTATGTTCTTATGTTCTTAACATAACTACCTTGTAAATTCTTGTAGATAAGGGGTTCGCCTCCCTGCCATTTACACCTGATCCAGCTTTCTACCAGTCACTTCCCAGCCAATTGCCTCTTGGAATGGATGGATGCACATCAGGCTGGGTTAGCAACATCTGTCTCAACAATCACTGATGCCCTTATAACCCGCCTAAACCTGCTGCCCAATGAGCAGCTTCTCTCCAGGTGGCAACAGCCCCCCCCCCCAATATGTGAGCCTCTGCATCACCTGGAAACCCATCACCTTCCCCTCAATCACACAGGGCATGGAAGGGTTAGCAACAGCTGTCTCACCAATCTCCGATGCCCTGATTTCCTGTTTGAACTCCAATGAGATACTTGTTTCTAGGAGGCAGATGTAGCGATCACATGTATCTTAACAGAGTCTAGGCATCCCAATGGTGGCACTATTACACTATTACACTGATTTGACATCCTGTTTCAGCATCATAGCGCTCCCAAAAAAAGTTTTAAAAAACCCCTCTGCAGGAGATCATGCGCGAGGGGTGAAACAGCAGGAAAAGAAAGTGGCGCAGTTTGAAAAGGCCACAGCGCTTCAGAGACGGCTCCTTACCAGAAGGGAACGGCAGTGTGAAACAGCCGTCCCTGTACCAGTTTACTCCATGATGGGCCAATCATGGAAGCCGTTCATTTTAGAAAAGTAATGTGAAAAGGACCGATAAAAGTTATTAAAGATACATGTATGTATTAGAAATGATTTAAAAACAGTTATAGGCCCAAATGTAGCCTCAATAAATATTATAATTGTACAGTATTCACAAGCATAAATAATACACGTATGCTCAATGTTGCAATAATAAAACAAATAAGTAATCAGTATAGGACCAAGTGAAAATTATAATATTTATCAGTGGTTCAAGGTTAAGGTGTACAGTAGAGGCTTCATCTGATATTGCCTGGTGTCCTAATCAGGTGCATATACCTTGGAGATGGTACTGCAATAATATGCCTTCCTAGTTTGCTCCTAAAGATGCAGTTTCAAATGCAATCTAGAGCTGGTGTGCCCTAATGGTGTGTAATTGACATTAGCCA